CACCTCTGTGACCATTCAAGGTGTACAAAGGTCGACCTTCGAGCAGATCGAAGATTTTCAGCGTCGAATCCTCCGAGGCCGACATGAGATAGTGCCCACTCGGATGGAAACTGACCTTTTTCACGGCTGAGGTATGGTCTGTTACACAGATGAAGGCATCATAAGTGGCAATCACTTTTCAAAGTCGACTATAGGAAATGGGAGAAGTCATACACTAATCGTAGTATCTGTTCTCCCTCCTCTTTTCTGATGTCGAAATCGTCTTTTTCCCAGCGACAAAACCTAATTCTCTATGGGAGCATGTTGTTATGTAATCAGCAAACTTCACGATATAATTATATTCGCCAAGTTACTACTGTCAGCGACTTCATGCCAACGGACAAGTGAAGTAAGTTAGCGGTCATTCTCACGATTGTGACGTAAAAAGCATTCGCAAGTATACACAAAAAAATCTGTCGTGGAGGAATAGGAAAGATTAAAATAGCCTTTGGTGCTTCTGAATAGCTGTGCACAGAAGGAATGCATTTTGCATATTATGTGCAAGGACCAAGGTTCAGCCGGTACTACATAATGCCTTGATATTCAGGACGAAGAGAAATCCTAATTTCGGTCAGCAATTACGCGAAGTATACGGATAGCAAAGGAATGAAGAAGGTCGAGCACTTTCCAGTCACTTGGCACGAGAGAAATTAAAAGGCACTTTTTAAAGTTTTAAAGTATTCGTTCGTAGGATGTTCTTGCTGATTTTGTTAGGGCGTGTCCGTTAATGCGCGCTAATTTGCAATAATACGTGATATCTTATGCTGATTATTCAAGGTTCACTACACGGAATTATTTCATTTTTCAAGGGACTTAAAAGTCGCAAAGAATCAATCCGGATCAATTAGTATGCACCCACGAAGAGGTAAAAAATAAGCATACCATTGTAGTGTTGAAGTAGGCGTTTCATCCTAAGGTCCCAAATTTTGACCGAAAAATTTGTGCCAGCAGAAGCAAAGCAGTTCCCACTGGGATGGAAATCAAGATGGCCTGCAAAACCACCCTGTTCAGTAAAAGTTTGAACGCAATCCTGGTTTCGACAATCCCATAGGCGAATCGTTTTGTCATCTGAACTTGACAGGATCAGCTGGCTGTCGGGTGAATATCTATTAAAGTGTTAAAAAGAGAGACATCGGACTTGCAGCATCGAACCCAGTTAACGTGCTTGTTGAGGGAATAAACAAACTTTTGCCTATGAATGCTCCACACCTAACGAAGGTTCAGGCATACCGTATACAAACCTTTACAGACTTGTCAGCGGAGGCTGTACAAAGATGCATATTATCCGAGGATATATCGACCCACCGAACAGCAGCCGAATGAGCCCGAAAAGTTACCGACTCGCCTTTTCTGAAGTTAAGTTAGAACAAACGCATGCACTACACGCTGGGAATCCACAATCTGACAGTTCTATCCTTGGAGGCTGACAACACAATCTCGCCATTCGGGGAAAAAACCGCGCAAAACACGGCATCTTCGTGACCTAAGAACCTGTATGCCCTTGTCTGTGGTTTGATGTTCCAGATCATCAAAGAGGAGTCCATGGACGATGTGGCTAAACCGATAAACGTCACAAAATGCACATATATACCCAGTTGTTTGCCATTCGAATTGAAACTGACATTTGTGATGGCACCCCGGTGGCCTTTAAAATGAATCTGTAAGGTCGGATCTTCCTGCATCTCCGTTAGTTCATTGGATCATCCAACATAAACAAAATCAAACTGCCCGGTGTAAACTTAACTGTAACGAGGATCAAAACCACAGTGTTTGACTGAATGGACACACATTTTTTTACTATTCAGCGGTCAGACTATTTTCGTGCATTTTCTGCAAGATGTCTGAACCAAAATGAAACCAAGTCGACCTCTATGCGTACTTACCGGAGGTCTCCGGAGATGGCTAAGTTGGGCATGCAACGCGAAGCAACCACCACAGGTGGTAGAGGTAGAAACTTGTGTATTTACAAGTTCATTAATAAACCCAACTACCCCACTGTAAAACGATAACTTTCTTCAGGGATGTGAAAGAGTACCGCACCTGAGAATGTTTCCTAGGGATCTGGATTCGGCAAGCTAATTACGAGGAAAGTAGATCTCCTGATAGTAAAATCATCGTCTGACCTAGTGCAGTCCTTATCAGTTACTTAAGTATGCGACAAAAGATCACTTCGTGGAGGACGGCAGGTCGTGCGGAGATCGGAAGGCAGCATCCTGCTAGTCGGCTCTTTATGTTTGGACAAGCGTGCTTATACAGCTGTCCACTGGGAATATTTACCTTTGTACATTTTCGATTTTTTACTTTAAACTTTCATGTACATCCGACTGTTCTGTGGTGTTGTTCAAATAACCTAAAATACGCACAACCGGTCTCGGATTTCGTTAACGCGTGTTTTTCGTCTGCATGCACCCTGGTCCTGTTGCTCCATTTGTTACGTTCATGTGCCTCAATCCTTTTTAGTCAGCTGCCCCGAAACATTTTTATTTCTTGGTCGTATCTTGCCGGACGTGAATCTACCCGAGCAAAAAACTCCAGTAATTGACTTCAGCTCGGAACCTTTTGGACTTTTCGAAGAGCATTCACGCTACGACAACCGATACCGGAGAGGGCTTTAATTTTCGTGAGGCTGTATAGTTATTTACCTTTGCCGTCTCTCCCGACTTTCTTTGCTACTATTTTTTGTGAGAAACACGGCATGCCCACTTAGAGTAAAGTTTTCCCTATGTCTATCTCTCTTTATAGTTTTAATTGTCGTTAACACAACAACATTTAGTGTTTTCCTGGCTCTTTGATCCATCGTGGTCGAGGTGCGGAGCTCAATTTCAAAGCTATGTAAAGCATAACCTTTATCTCCGTAGTGCCAGGCAATCAATGCGTACTTTCTATCGAGTTCTTCTTAGAAATCGCCTTTTAGTGCAGTGTATAATTTCCCCCCGTCTTATTAGACGGTTTGGTAAAATTGCTGAATTTTGCGAAACGCCTGTCTATTGACATTGTGTCAGACCATCTCTTTCTAGTTAACGTAGTAAGGTAACACTAGTATGTGCTGCCTGTGCGTTGCGTTGTAAGTTAACGACGTTTTGATCTTTGTACCGCAACGAAAACCCGTCTAATACCTTGTAATGTTCCCAAGACGACTTGTCAAAAGACGAAGAGTTCGCGGCCTTATCATTATCTCTGGACGCTAGAATCCTGGTCGGAGGCCGAACGGGTGCCAGCGTGTGTTCGCAGCCTTTTCTGGATATGGTTAATTTAAAAATCCCATATGTCCATATAGAACCTTTCGACCTTTCAGTCACTCAAAGCTACGCCTCTGCTAGTCGTAACAGAACTTTATCAGATGAAATATTAGACCAGTTGATATTTGGCGACATAAACAATACTTCCGACAAACAGGTAGCAAGCACATAATAACACTTGGAGATTTTAATTCTCCGGGCATCGACTGGGAATCGATGCAGTGCACGCGATTGGAAAGCTCATCCGGCCAGAAACTATTGCAGTTGTTCACTGGTGAAATCCTTGCTCAACATATTACAATGAACACCTGATCTAGAATTCGACATCAGTTAAGCTGTTTTGATATCATCATTAACAGTAATGAAGGCTGTATCCTTGAACTGACTTACAACGCGCCCCTGGGCCAAGGCAATCACTTTGTTCTTGTTTGGGTGTAGAGTCATTTTCCTGTATCCGAAATTCGGACCAAAAGGACGAGAAATGTATGGAAAGGGAATTACTCAAAAATGAAAGAACTGCTGACTGAGATAGAGTGAAGACCTGAGCATAAACCTGACCGAAATGCCGCCTGGATTTTCTTCAAGAAAGTCGGTCAGTATAAGTCAGCATATTTTAAGTGCATTTGAAATCCATATTGAAAAAGCTACGTCCAATATCTTACTTTAAATAAACACGGTACTAAAATGATGTCAGTAATATGAATATCTTACGCAATATCGTTTTTAAAAATGATGGACAGAAACTCTAGTTCATTCAGCTGTAGGCGGTAATGGTAAAATGAAATGAAAATTATCCGCATTAACGGTAAGTGTGTGCAAGGCTCTTGTTTGGCATAACAGACCTGCTCGGACCAGATAAGCGGCCTTTTTAAAGCAAATATACACCCAGTCTTTGTTTACATTTCTCCGTGGAATACGTCATTACCACATCCTCCGGAAGTTCGTTTCAGGCACCGACGACTCGCTGTAAAAAAGAGTTTCTGCGAACGTCCAGGCTGCATCGAAATCCTCTAAGTGTAAGTGGGTCCCACGCAGGTTTGCTTTAGTTAATTTTGTTTCAGTTTGTTTGGTAAGGAAAATAGGTGAGGCCTTTGAAAACTCTATTGATTACATTCCAGTGCGTTGGATACAACCGTACGCGAGCGGTGAAAATATTCGTTATTAAAATAGTACTTCATTAATTTGAGCAGCATTGTTTCAGAGAAAAATTTCGGGGTGACGGGACGGTTAGTTCAGGTTCAGACTGTCCAGTTGCAGGGAAAACAGGGGACGCAAATTATCATCCAAGTGCTTCTCGACGAATTGCAGGGACGTTGCCAGCACGACTGACTGAGGGAGATAGTTCCACTTCTACATTACGCTTTGTGTGGAAAATTCAGAAAGAAGATTCAGCCTGGACATTTTTGTCCGTAGCTTCATCGAGGGATCACGAAGATGGGGTGAAAGGTGCCACTGGAGCATGTCCTCAAAGAGCATTCAATGCTTAAGGGAATGTATTATTATGTAGACGATGATAAAAAAAAATAGGATACAATAGGTTTATTATAGCACCTCTTTGCTGCCTATAACACATAGGGAATAAATTAGGGCAATTCAGTCATTCTGTGCATGATGATTTTTTAAACCGTTCACCATCTTCGATGCACGACGTTAGACTCTTTTAAGGCATGCTTGGTCCTTCACAAGCCACGACCGTCACGCTTGTACACCATATTCTAAATGGGGCCGAACAAAGGTGCCAAACCTCTTCCAAAAAGGTCTTTGTCAAAGGTTAAGAACGCCCATTTGTTCGCATACAACACTCCCATAGCGTTTTTGCAGCCTTTTGGCACTGCAGTGCTGGTTTCATGCCGCTCTGTATCTAAACACCGAGATCCTTCTGTGAAGATTCGGCGGGTAGTCTAATAGCTTTCGGGTGATATGTCCTCAGGCTCTCAATTAAATGATATTTGGTTGGACGCAGATGAAGGACGGTACATTTCTGCACATTAAAATCCTGAAGTCACTACTCGGTGCAAAGAGTTTTGAAGGGCTATCTGTCTATTTGGACTCTAAACGACTTGCCAGAGCTTAACATCATCGACAAACATTATTTTACCGCACTCGAGATCCTGAAGGCTGCCATTAACATACAGAATGGAGAGCAATGGTCCTAGAAGTGAGCCTTGAGGCACACCGATAGTGACGTTCAACCACTCTGACATATCATCTTCCATACAGACAGGTTGTTTCCCACCAACCAGAAACGCCCTCATCCATTTCAGAAGATCTCCCTGGATGCCGATGGCGCTCAATTTGTGAAGAAGGCGTTGGTGCGAGACAGTGTCAAGTGCTCTGCGGAAATCGATTTGCACGATATATACCTCAAAACCCTCTTCTAAAGCTCTGGTCCAGATCTCCAGATAAGCTAACAGATTTCAGAGGCAGGAACGTCCTCTCCGGAGGCCATGTTGAAAAACCTGAAAGATGTTATTTTCGTCACAAAATTGCTCTATAGAAATCTGAAGCATCCTGAAGTTTTTTGTCAGCCGGATTACGAGCCAAAAGAGCGAATGAAAATGAGAGAGCTGATGACGGAGCTGGAAAAGCGGAGAAGCAGCGGTGAAACACACCTAAAAATCAAGAACGGACAAATAATTCAGGTCAAAAGGACATTTCTTTGGCCGAAGGCCGTCATTCTGACAGCCTAACCGATGCAAATGTGCCAACTCCTGAGGCTGCTCGAACCAGTGGCCGCTGTCTAGAAATCTATTACACTAACTGTCAGAGTCTTCTCAACAAGCTAGATGAACTCAGATTACTAGTCCCTGAACAGAAGCCACACATAATTGTCCTAACAGAGACATGGTTGACTGGGGAAATTAGTAGTAGTGAATTCAGAATTGAAGGTTACCAACTGTTCCGTTGGGACAGATTTCAGCGTAGAGGAGGAGGCACAGCTATTTATGTGTCAAATGAAATTGCGTGCTGCCAACGAGAAATATCCGATGGTGCGCCCCGAAATTTTGAAACAATTTCATGCATGATATGTATCAAACAATTACCGACACTGAACCTGTGTGTTGTCTATCGGCCTCCCAGCTCGAATGAATTCGCCGATATGGAATTACTTAGTCCACTGGAGTTGTTACGTAAACAGGAGAACTTACTACTTCTGGGTGACTTAAACGCTCCAGGAATAGACTGGAACATTCCCATAACAAACGCCCCGTCCACGTCATTTGGCCACAAGCTACTTCAACTCTCCCTGAATAAATACCACAATCAGCACATAAATTTCGGAACAAGAATGAGAGAAGGACAACGATCTAACTGTTTAGATCTCGTTTTCAGTAAAGAAGAAGGACTCATAAAGGAAGTGAATCCACAACCTCCACTCGGTTTAAGCGATCATATTGCTTTTACTTGCGTGTGCTCTCCCCCATCCAAACAACAACCAAAAATCAAGAGGCGCAGAAATATTTGGAAGGGTGACTTTAACGCAATGAGACGCACTCTCTCGGAGGAAACCTGGTTGGTCAACACAAAAGATTCGGACGAATTCTGCCAGTACTTTCGCGGGATTATAGAGCGTCTAATTGATTCCCACTGTCCAATAAAATTGACAAGGCTATGTTCGCGACCGCCGTGGGTCAATCCGACGACAAAAAAGACCATGAAGAAGAAACAAAGACTCTGGAAAAAATATTTGCAACTTCGAGATCCAAGGTCGTTCGCCGATTATAAGGATCAGCGCAATAAATGCCGAAAGCAAATACGGACTGCTAGAACTTCTTTTGAGCGCCAACTGATAGCAGAATCCATTACATGTCCCAAGAAGTTTTACGGGTGCATCCGCAGTAGGAGGAAACATAGGGGCGAAATTGCGTGTCCAAAGGATAGCCTCGGAAACTTAGTAGTTGAAGGGCCACAGAAAGTGCAATTACTGTCTCAGTTTTTTCAATCGGTTTTTACGGAGGAGTCCCCAGAAGACAATCAGCAGTTTGAAATGGACCGAGACAGCCGGGAGCTTCAAATACGCCACGATACTGCCGTCATTGAAACCGTCGCCTTTTCCGTCGAAGAAGTCAGATGCGTCCTCAGTCAAATAAAACCTGATAAGTCTCCTGGACCCGACGGAATTCCCGTGCTGATACTTAAGGAGCTATCAACGGAGCTGTCAAAGCCCCTTTCGACTCTCTTTGAGCTGTCAATGAGAACAGGAAGGCTGCCCTCACAGTGGAAGACAGCTAACCTCGTTCCCCTACATAAAGGCGGTAGCAGGATGGCAGCAAGCTGTTTCAGGCCTATTAGCCTAACCTGCCTCTCGTGCAAAACGATGGAAGCTCTAGTAAAGAGTGCCATACAGCAATTTTGTGAAGAAAATAACCTCTTGCAGGATTTCCAGCATGGCTTCCCGAGAGGACGTTCTTGCCTCTCAAATCTGCTAGCTTGTCTGGAGATCTGGACCAGGACTCTAGAAGATGGTTTTGAGGTCGATGTCGTATACATCGATTTCCGCAAAGCTTTTGACACTGTCCCGCACCAACGTCTTCTTCACAAATTGAGCGCCATCGGCATCCGGGGAGATCTTCTGAAGTGGATTAGGGCGTTCCTGATTGGTCGGAAACAACGTGTCTGTATCGGGGATGATATGTCAGAATGGGTGAACGTGACCAGTGGTGTGCCGCAAGGCTCAGTTCTGGGACCATTGCTCTTCATCCTTTACGTTAACGACAGCCTTCAGGAACTTGGCTGCGGCAAAATAATGTTTGCAGATGATGTTAACCTCTGGTAAGTCATTAAGGGTCCGAATGATCAGAGATCCCTTCAGGATAATTTGCACTGACTGCAAGCGTGGTCGGAGAAATGGCTTCTAGACTTCAATGTACAGAAGTGTGCCGTCCTCCATCTGCGTCCAACTAACTCTCATTCAAATCAGAGCCTGAGGACATATCATCTGAAAGATATAAGACTCCCCGCAGAATCTTCACAGAAGGATCTCGGGGTTTGGATACAGAACAATTTGAAACCAACATTGCAGTGCTACAAGGCTGCAAAAAACGCAATGGGAGTGCTGCATGCAATAAAAAGGGCTTTCGTAAACTTTGACCAAGACCTTTTAGGGAGAGTTTACGGCACATTTGTTCGGCCCCACTTAGAATATGGCATTCAAGCATGGCGACCGTGGCTAGTAAAGGAGCAAGCATGCCTAGAACGAGTACACCGGCGTGCAACAAAGCTGGTAAACGGTCTAAAAAGCCAGTCCTACACAGACAGACTGAATTGCCTTAATTTATTCCCTCTGTGTTAGAGGTAGCAAAGAGGTGATCTTGTCCTCGTCTACAAGATAATACATGGCCTTGAGTATGGACTTAAATTTGAGGAAATGTTTCAGTGGCACCTTGCACCTAATCTTCGTGGTCACTCGATGAAGTTACGGACAGCAATGTCCAGGCTGATTCTTCGTTCTGAATTTTTCACGCAGAGGGTAGTGGAGAAATGGAACGATCTCCCTCAGTCAGTCGTGGAGGCTACGTACCTGCAACTCTTCAAGAAACGCTTGGATGAGTATTTGTGTCCCCTGTTTTCCCTCGACAGTCTGAATGAGAACTAAGACCCCACGTCCCCACAAATGTTTTCTCTGAGACAATGCTACTCAAATGAATCAAGTACTGTTTTAATAGTGAATATTTTTTGTTCGTGTACAGTTATTTCTAACGCGCTGACATGTAGTCAATAGGGTTTTCAAAGGCTTTGCCTATTATCCTTACCAAATAAATAAATAAATAAATTTTAATTTAATGCCAGTTTACAGGCATTGTCAAGGGAAGCGATTAAACACAAATCCGACCAGCAGTGAAAAAAAACTCCTGAGTTTAAGGCATAAAAATATAGTTGATGGTGGTTTTTGTGGTTTGGAGGGCTCAGGAGAAAAAAACTGTCGGCGGTGGTAGAATATCGACCGTCAAGAAGGGGGGAGGTTGCACGGTATCGGAGATTATCGGACGTCAACTTCCTTTCATGAAGTTGGGGAAAGTCAAAGTAGAGGCGTAGAGGAACAGCTGGTGAGACCGGCCATAGTGTTCAGAGACCACAAACGCCATCGGTACGGTACAGTCGATCAGTAGATTCAGCACCCAAAATTTGTGGGAGCTTTTCTGAATGCAAAAATCGAGTAATAGTTCTCTTAAATAAAGGAAAATTTTGCAGAGTTTTCACACTCATGGGTAGTTTATTCCAAATAGCAATTGCATTTACAGAAAAGAACCGACGATATTTAACAGTACGTGCCAGAGGCAGAAATAAGAAGACCTCACGGTGACTGTTACGTCGTGGGTGGATATGATGTCTTAAAGAGGTGAGCGGGTTAAATGTGTGATTATATAAGAGTTTAAATAGCAAAAATAGTCCCTTTTGTAATCTACGGAACCATAAAGGATCGAGGCCTGTAAGCCGGCAACGTTCTTGGTAAGACAAATGTCGGTGTTGGGGGGTTAAAATTCTCTTAGTAAAAAAGTGTTGAACGGATTCTATTTTCTTCCGCTCAGTAGCACGCATGAGGCTAAATGAAAACGAACAGTATTCCAGACCAGGTCTAACGTACATGTTGAAAAGGCGCATTCTAATGTCCCTAGTTTTAAAATTTCGGAGGATAAACCCGGTCGTTCTACGTGCTTTGGAGACTATCAAGGCACAGTGCTCCGAGAGATTAAGACTCTTGGAGTATGATACGCCCAAATCCCTTATAACCCCTGGCACATTTATTGCGTGACCTTCAATACTTAGTTGAGGTTGGCGGTCGTCGCCAACCACCATGACTGAGCACTTATGCCANGAAAGAGAAAGGCGCCATGTGCGGCACCACTGGGCGAAAGCCTGTAGATCGCTCTTTAGGAGCTCAAGCACGATGTCATGATCTGCCGGCCTATATCGATATGCAACTTTAAGATCATCGGCATACATGAAAGGCTTACCATTCTGAAATAAATCGGGTACATCATTAACGAAAAGGCAAAATAAAAGCGGGCCGAGTACACTACCCTGAATGACTCCACTCCTCACACGTGTGGGGTTGGAGATGGTATTGGAAATCTTAACTCGTTGTGTGCGAGTGCCCAAATAAGAGGATATAAAATTCAAAAGTTTGCCACCTATTCCGAAAGATGACAATTTCAAGAGGAGAAGAGCATGGTCAACACGGTCAAAAGCCTTAGTGAAATCGAAATATACTGTGTAAAGAGCAAAACCATGGTCCCTAGATTGGAGAACATAGTCAAAGAAAGAGAGTTGACAGGTGTCACAAGATCGAGCTTTGAGGAATCCATGCTGAGCAACACTCAGTAAGTTGTTCGCTGTTAAGTGACACATCATCTTATCCTTGATCAAAGTCTCTAAGATTTTCGAAACTGCAGGGAGGGTGTTTATTGGCCGAAAGTCATCAAATGATGTAGATTTGCCGTGCTTAGGAATGGGCAAAATGTGTGATTCCTTCCACAATGTAGGATAAGTTTCACTTTCAAGAGCAAGATTAAATATCTTACATAAGAGGGATGGGAAGATAGTGTTTGCATCAGCTTTTAAAATGCTTACTGGGACACCATCAGGGCCTGGACTATAAGATTGACGAAAACGCCGAATCGCAACAGTCACATCCCACAGAGTGGAAGTTATAGTTTCTAGAACTGCCCCAGTCAATGACTGGATGGTCGGAAGCGGAGTGGTCGAGTCTTCAATAAACGTTTTGGACAGGAAATCATTGAAGCTATCCGCGGTTAACTGAAATAAACTAAAAATAAACTTTACCACAGCTTCCATCGTTTTGCATGGGAGGCAAGTTAAGCTAATAAGCCGGAAACCGCTTGCGGCCATTCGGCTACCTCTGTTATGTAGGGGAACGAGGTTAGCTATCTTCCAGTGTGATGGCAGCCTTCCTGTTCTCATTGGCAGCTCAGAGTGAGTCGAAAGAGGCTTTAACAGGTTCGTTGATAGCTCCTTAAGTATCAGCCCAGAATTTCCGTCGAGTCCAGGAGACTTATCTGGTTTCACTTGACTGAGGACATGTCTTACTTCTTCGACGGGAAAGGCAACGGTTTTAATGTCGGCAGTATCTTGGTGCAGTTGCAGATTCCGGCTGTCTTGGCTCATTTCAAACTCCTGATTGTCTTCAGAAGTCTCCACCGTAAAAACTGACTGGAAACCTGAGATAGTAATTGCACTTTCTGTGGCCCTTCGACTAATAAGTTTCCGAGACTATCCATTAGACACGCAATTTTCTCCCTATGTTTTCTCATACTGCAGATGTACCCATTAAACTTCTTCGGACGTGTAATGGATTCTGCTACCATGCAGCGGTCGAAAGAAGTTCTAGCAGTCCGTATTTGCTTGCGGCATTTATTGCGCTGTTCCTTATATTCGGTGAATGTTATTGGATCTCGAAGTAGCAAATACTTCTTCCACAGCCTCTGTTTTTTTTACTTCATGGTCTCCGTTGTCACTGGAGTGACCCACAGCAGTCGCGCCCGTGGTCTAGATATTTTTATTGGACAATAGGAGTCAATTAGGCGCTCTATAACCCTGCGAAGGTACTGTCAAAATTATTCTGAATTTTCCATGTTGGCTGACCAGGTTTCCTTTAAAAGGGTACCTCTGATTGCGTTAAAGTCACCCTTCCAAATATTTCTGCGCCTCTTGATTTTCGGTTGTTGTTTCGATAGTAGATCGCACACGCAGGTAAAACCGAGTGGAGGTTGTGGATTCACTTCCCTTATGACTCCTTCTTCTTTGTTAAATATGAGATCTAATCAGTTAGATCGTTGTCCTTCTCTCGGTCTTTTTCCGAATTTTGTGTGTTGAATGAGGTATTCATTCACAGAGAGAGACTTTTATTAGGTTGTGTTCGAATGACTTGGAGGAGGCGTATTGTAAGGAAATTTTCCAGTCTTCTCCTGGAGCGCTAACGTCACCCCGACTTAGTAAGTTCTCCTGTTTACGTAACAACTCCAGTGCACTACGTAATTCCATATCGGCTATTTCATTCGAGCTGGGAGGCCAATAGACAACACACATGTAAAGCGTCGGTAATTGTTTGATCCATATAAATTTATAGATTAGATTATAGTATTCTAGCCATCGACTGCTGGTGCTCACAGCCCCAAAAGCTGGCAAGTCGAAGAAATCATCGAGATATAGGGCACATTCCCGGTTCCTAAAAATCCGGTACGCCTGTATGAGGTGTTCTCGGATCTGCCTGTACTCAAGAGTATATATATTAAGCTCATCAAATCTGCTGTCGTAAGGCCTTTCACAATTTTGGTCGCTCTCCTCTGAACTCTTTTCAGCAACTTGTAGTCTTTTTTCAGCCACGAGCCCACGCTTGGATTCCGTATTCCAGATGCGAACGAATGAACGCTCCGTATACATCTCCAAACAAATCTGTCTATATCTATGAAAGTTCGTTTAACGGCGAAGGGAAATACCGAAAAATCCAAAGACATTTTTCTCGTAGGTCAATAGGGCAAAACGCAATCGGGACTCCATTCCTTGTCTTAAGAAGTATCAGGGAAATAAGCCAACCGATAACTCAGTTAAGACGAAGCTCTAATCCGATTTCTTCATGTCCATGTATACTGACGATTCGCCTTTTGATGAGGAAGTACACCGGCAAAATGCCCAACCTAGAAATTCAATCAACACGGTGGCGTTCACAACCGGAGCAGTAAGGAAATCTCGGATACGGCTGCAGCCCGCTAAATTACCAGGTACGGAGGGCATATTCGTAAAAGTTTTGGACGAACTCACAGACCAACTAGCCTCCAACACTTCCCAAGATTTTCGGAAGTTCTATAGAAGCAGGGGCTCTGCCTACTGGCTGGAATCTAACCAACATCAGTCCCATTTATGAAGAAGGAGAAGAAACCTCGCCAAATAGCTTCAGACAACTGAGTCTTACAAGCATTTATTGCAAATAAATGGAGAAAATAATAAAAAAAGGAACTGTTGAGGCATATTGAGGAGAACGACTTACTTAGTGGGTATCAACATATATTTAGAGGTGGTTGATCCTGACTCACTAAAATGCTAACACAAATGGAAAGCTGAACGAACTTCTTAGAGATGGGCTTGTCAGTAGATGCAGTCTACATCGACTTTAGCAAACCTTTTGACGAGGTACCACACAGACGGCTCATATCTAAACTGCACCAAATAGGTACTGGTAACCTACTCAAGTGTTTGACCCATTTCCTCACAGGCCGACCTCAGAATGTGTACCTTGGTGACGCCAAATCAGAGTGGGAAAACGCTCACGGCGGGGTTCCGCATGGGAAATTCCTGGGTCCCATTCTGCTCTTTGGTATATGTGAACAATTGTCAAGATTGTCTGACCTGTGAGAGGGTAGTGTTCGCTGATGATCTGAAGATATGGAGTACGATTTAAAAGTCAGATGACGCGCTTAACTTGCAAAATAACTTAAATCGACTGCAAGAGTGGTGCGATGAATGGTTTCTCAACCTCAATTTTAACAAATGTCAATTCATCAGACTAAGGTCTAGTTACAGAAGGGACTTGGCATCTGCATGTCAGCATTTCCTCGGAAGCCACGAACTCGAACTAGTAAACGAGGTAAAGGACATAGGTTTGTGGATGGCGTCCACTCTCAAACCCTCGTCTTTCTGCGCCAAAATATCAACGAAGGCCATTGGTATCCTGGAAGCGATCAGGAGATCCTTCCCCAACTTCGAGGAAGAGCGTTTCGGTCGACTGTTTTGAACATTCATCTGGCCGATTTTTGAATATGGCATTCAGGCATGGGGCCCGGGATGAAGCAAGATTGCACTCTCCTGGAGAAGGTGCATAAAAGAGCGACTAAACTAGTCGGTTAGCTGAAGAGACTACCGTACGAGGAATGGTCAGAAAGGCCCAAACTTTAAAAAAATTGACCAATTTAAGTTCACTGTCTACTTCTCTAACAAGTCTGAAGACCATGATCATATCACCTCTGTATTGCCTACAAGAGAGAGTTAAAGTTTGGGCCAAACGACAAATATAAACTGAAGACAAAGTACGCCAAGCTTGAAGTGCAGGCGAATTTCCTCTCGCGCCGGGTGAGTTAGGATTGGGACAAACTACCTGATCCAGTCGTTCGGGCGGAAAGCGCTGAGGCATTTAGACGAAGACTTGATGACATTTTATATGATGATCATGTATTTACTTCATAAGGACTGATGAAATGCACACGTATGTCATCGTACACATCCGCACGTTTTTTAGTCTTTGTCTGCAAATAGGATTTTCAAAGGCTATGCCCATCTCCGTCATGCACACTAAATTATACTGATTTGCCCTTTGTACTCCAGCATAATTTTGAGAGAAAAAGGTAGCTGTGTTGCTGTGCTGTTTTCAATCTTTTTTCCTATCCGGGATGCTTTCAGAACTTTTATTTCCATAGGTATTTAAAATGATGTGCTTAGAGGACCACTTGTAGTTTGCTGAAAATTTTGAACTTACGATTTCAAAATAAAGCGCATTTCCTCCTCTTTCCTCCTCAAACGAGTAAGATCCTCCGAACAACGGTGTTCAGGTCCGACTGCATATAATACAGTCAAGTCCCGAACAACCAAACACTGTTGGCGATCCCGGTATCCTTTATTTTATCTTTCCTGTGAATTAGTTGTATGATTACGAGGACGATTTACAAAATCCTCGCATGGATTCGAACTCATATTGTCGACTATCTGTCCCGAACAACCCATCAGGACTAGATGGGGCTTCCGACTACTGTAATGGCGTTTCCCATCTCCCCTGCCCACGAATTCCTGCTTTTGCGTTCGAGTATTTGCTCTATAGGGTAGTCGGGGTGGTTACGAGTATAAGAGGGCACCGGTAGCTTAGATGACCTATTTATATCATCCCTTGGCAAAAGAGAAACCCTACCATTTTCAGCAAGAGGAGTAAGCCAGATAGCTTCAACGATAGCTTCCCATTTAAACGCCACCAACTGTATATGTGATCGATATCCTCCCCTTTAGAGATCAGAGGTTTCAATAGACATTCCAACTGTCACAGAGTTCCCAAATGGGTGTGCCTGTGAACATATCGTTATCCAATGCTTTCTTGACATTAGTGCACAGTCATGGTGGTTTGCGACGACTGCAAACCTAAACCAAGTATTGACGGTCACGACATAAATGTGTCTGGGGTTATTAAGGATCTGGGCGTATCACACTCCAGGAGTCTTAATTTTTCGGATCACTATGCCTTTATAGTCTCCAAAGAACGTAGAACGGCCGGGTTTATCCTCCGAAACTATGAATCCGGCAATATTAGAATGCGTCTTTATAACATGTACGTTAGACCTGGCCTGGAATACTGTTCGTTTTTATTAAGCCTCATACGAGCTGCTGAGCGAAAGAAAATAGAATCCGTTCGACGCTTTTTTACCAAGATAGTTTTTACCCCGGAACACCGACATTTGTCTTACAAAGAACGTTACCGGCTTACAGGCCTTGACCCTTTATGGTTTGTAGACTACCAAAGGGACTATTTTTGCCATTTAAGGTTTTATATAATCGTACCTTTAATCCGCTGACTACTTTAAGATATCCTGTCCACCCCCCCGCCCCCCCCCTCGACATGACAGTCACTGTAACGTCTTTTTGACTATTCTTCTGTCACGTACCGTTAAATAGCGTCGTCCTTTTCTGTAAATGCAACTTCTATTCGAAGTAAAATACCCAGTAATGTGACAACTTTGCAAAATTATCCCTTGTTTAAGAGAACTATTACTCGATTTTTGCATTCAGAAAACCCCCCACAAATCCGGCCAGCAGTGAAAAAAACTCCTGTCGAAAAGGTGCAGTAGTGGGTTTGAGTGTGCCTTCCTGTTACACTATGGTTAAGTCAACCTTTTGGATGACAACTGAGAGAAAGCGCCAGTTACTGTGAAGATCAGACACTCGTCTACCTACCCAAACGTAGGCATCAGAATCAGCCATATCTTCCGCCACCATGAACACTGGCCTTTCATTAGCTCACCGACTTGCCTCGTTTAGTTCCAATTTTGAATTCTGTGTGGTCCTATTCGAGATGGTGGCTACCCTCGTGAAGTACGCAATAGCTGGCATTGGCGTTGGATTTTTAACATATTGTGTGTATTTCGATCGGAAAAGACGAAGTGATCCACAATTCCGAATTAAATTAGCGCAACGTAACCGTGCCTTTCTTCAAAAATAACTATTTCAGGACGCCGAGAACGAGAACTTTCTGCTAAGAAGCAGTCTATGCCGTCATTGCCACCCCTGAATGATCCCAAGGCGATTCACCGCTTCTTTCTTGAGCAGATTCAGCAAGGCGAAGTCGCACTCTCTACTGGTGCTATTGATGAAGCTGTGCAAAGTTTCGCTCTAGCTGTCGTCGTCTGCGGTCAGCCCACCCAGCTTTTGCAGGTTCTGCAGCAGTCTCTTAGTCCGCCGGTGTTCTCGAAACTAGTTTCCGCATTGCCTGCTGTGCGAAAGGTACCCTTTTATTTTTGTCGTTACACGCCTTTTAGATGGTTCTGTCCACCAGCATTCCCACAAGAGGCTCGTCCGTCGAAATCGAAGAGGACCTCGAGTAGATTAACCGTGCATGTACTATAGTTTTGAATATATCTTGATCTTTGATTATGACTTTTTAACCGAAGCTAACGCTGCCATCGGGGACTGAGATTTATTGTTCGTAGATCCGGCCTTCCGTTCTTATCCTTCTCTGGGCCCTCCTCGGCCCTGTCGCCGCAGATGTGGATCCATTTCACATGCTCCCTGTCCGCAAAGATGGGGAAAAATCAACAAACCTTTTTAAGGATGTGACTGTACGCCGCGATCGTGCGCATGTCATCCTCGTTCGTACTCTTCTCCACCAACTGTTGGATAAATTGTCGGACGAACATACTAATTTGCCGAACGGACGTGTGCTCTTCCGTTGCATGCTTACTAGCGAGGACTTGTCTATCCTAAAACGTTATGCATCTTATGCGGAAGTTCCCCGACCCCCGTCGGCTGATGCTGTAAATGAGATATTCTCTAGATTCCTAGAACCTGTGCTCGGAGACGAACAAGACTCATCTTACACTTATTTTTATTACTTGGTTGTTGCGTTATCTATTGTCCCTGCGCTCTTCTTTTGTCTCCGAACGCTGAACGTCTTTAAGTTGACACTCGTTATTGTGATTACCTTCGCTGCGTATGAATTGTACATGTCTGCAATCGCGAGACAGCATGCACTCATTAGCAAACAGCCCTCTGTTCCTGAAGAGTGTCTGCCCTCTTCCCAGCAGTCTATCTATACAAGAATAACACTGTTTTTTTCAAGACGCCCATCGGACTACTGCGACGAATATTTCAAAGTTCTCATGACTCACCCTTTTACCGAGCTGCGGCCTGACAGAGTCGCCTTAACCATTTTTGGCGACGCTGTTATGAGCATTTTCAAAACCCTTGGCGTGTCATTAGGCTCATTTTATGAAAAAGTCAACAAATTTGTTCCCTTCTACATTGCCATACCTCTTACTGTAGCATTTCTCTATATGTTTTTCCGATTTACATTTCTGTCTACGAGCGTGGCTGGCGCTATAAAACCAAAAAAGAAACGAAAAATTAATGCGGCAAAGCCCATGGGCCAATTGCCTGCCAAATCGTAGCTCGTCTCGAGGAGTTTCATTTTCTAATAAATGTTATTTTTGCGTATTTTTGAAAGCTCCTTCGCGCTTACTGTCCTGTGTGACCGTCCTGTATATTTTCATTACCTTCAGATGTTTTTTTTTTCAATTGCTGTATCCGGGGACTGAATTATTTATTGTTTTACACCTAAATATATTGTGAAAAGAAGCTAGGGCTTTTCCCACATACTTTCGCGGACGATGTGCGCATTTTTGCAATATTCTGCTGTTGCACAGAGTAAAAAGAAACGACATTTTATACTTTTTGTTTGACTATTTACTCTTCGGTTCATGTTGAAGATGGGTTTCGTGACTCACCCATCTTCCAAAAAATTAGAGGTTCAATCCTTCGGCAATCGGGAGTTCTGCCGTTTATGAGCAGTTGCGCTGTTAAGTCAGCGACATTAGGCGATTGCCTTTGAACATCGATGTTGGGAATGTATCTTGCTGAATATGTCTCAAATCTCGGTACTTAACTCTAACACTTTGATTTAGTCGGTCCTCTTTGGATGTCGACATGACTTCATGGTACTGCTTAGACGCGCAACTGGTGGTTGCCTTTTCAGAGTTCCATTTGTTCGGCTGTGCCTGCTTGCGGTAAACTCGAGTCCGGGTATCATGCCAGAGAAGTCAGTATTTACTCAAACTGCTGCTTCCCACGTCAGCCTAAACGATAACCTCTCGGGCCTTGTGATTGGACGGCTTTCAGATGCCAGGGCTGTTATGGCTTTTACACTACTTCTGTCTTGGCTGGCTGGCTATTACATAGACGTTTCGCCTGGACTATCTCATATAGGAAGCGATTATGTGTGCTTTGCATAATTTGGGCACGTTGGCAGTAACTTCCTCGTGCTTTATAAGAACCCAAATAATACGTTGAATAACTTACCAAGTGTCACACTTACGCTTTCGTTCGATCTTTCCAGTGTGTCTTGTAGTGACTGGCTTCCAATCTGCTTGCTCAATGACGGGTGCCCTAACTAGAGTCCGTGTGTTTTAGGGTTATGAGGTAGTAAAAAATTCAACAACTGACGCGATTGGGAGCATAATTTGCAGCAAATGTTCCAAGGCTCTGTGGATGTTATAAATTCCTGAAAACACCCCTCAACCACGACAACTACTTACATTTTGCCATAATGTCTATAGAACAGAACCATCTTAAGACAAGTATGAAGACTCACCACCTCCGTTGACAGTTACTCCATCAAATAAAATACTTGCCAAGAGGCATGGAGCCGTCCTTGAGGTCGTCTAACTTTCTATCAGTGCCTGTTTTGATTCATTTGACATTTGGGACCTCATTCTAAATTCTCACAACCCCTTTGTTACGAACCTGCTCCTGTCGTGTAGTATTATACTGTCCATGTGATCCACTTGCTCTCAAGATGACCGTTAATGATTGCTTCTTATAAGGTTCATTGGTTAAGCTTGACAAATCTTCGCTAAGAAACCTATTTCTCCTATGTTTTATGGTTGCGGGACCTCAAATAGGTCTCTGACT